GAGAAATTTGGACACTAGGCAATCAAACATATAGGAAAGACACTGTGAAGAGACAGATTAAAAAGATGTCCATCCTCTGGGCGGTGGTGGCACACACCTTTAATCCCAGTTTGTGTTGCTTTGGAATAAAGCTCAATTAATGATCTGTGCTGTTAACCTTTACCCATCACCATCAGACCTGTCTGTGACACATATGTTCTATATTCTGTTGTAAGGAATAAAGTGTAGCACTAACTAGAATTTCAGTGCCAGTTGGTTTGAAGCCAATCATCCTATTTTCAAACATGAGCAAGAGATTCGGTGTCTGTGATTCTAAACTCATCACTGGCTACCAGGATGCATACTATCTAATGTACTCACAGACTTCTTACATCATTGAACTTACTCTTCTAATAATTCATAAAAAGAATTCAATGCCATCCACACACATTAACATAAACTTAAATGACTCCATCAGTTTTGAGTGTAATCTCACAAAAGTTTACAAGAACAGAATTACTGTATAATCTACCAATTCCACTTTTGGATCTATACATAAAATAAGTTGAAACTGGGTTCTCAGATTGTTATGTATATAAATGGGTTCACCACATATTTATAGAAAATTGAAATGTATAAGAAATCAAAGTGTTCATTGACAAAATGAATAATCAGGCCATATGCAGTATGTGCAAAGAATAGAATAGTTTTCAGTTATTGAAAGATGAAAAACTCAATATGCACCACAATATGGAAGAATCCTGAATACAAAAAGAAATTATTTTGTGGCATTACCTACAGGATTGTCACTATCATTGAGACAAAAAGTAAAATGGTTATCAAGAACTGAAGGAAGGAAAGAATGGGAAGTTCTTTTAAGTGTTTTTAACATTTCAAATGTCTAAGATGAAAGAGTTTTATGGATGGTTTGTTGTGGTGGCTGAGTAAACATTAGCTATATTTTTAAAATCACTAAAATCTACACTTAAAAAAGAGCAAAAAGGGTAAGTCTTATGCTATACGTATTCTAAAATCAAAAAAGTCGTAAATATATAAAGGAATAATAATATCTTTTACTTCAGTACATTGATTAATTATTTTTATAAAATCTCCATTAAAGTCAAAGAAACAAAGATATCTTTAGTTATTACCTCTGAGACAATATACTGGACAATTCTAGACCAGGATGCCAAGTACCTGATAATTAGATGGTCTTCCCTCAGTATCCAAAAGCTGTCATGATGGTGGCAGCAGTAATGTTAGAAGTGGGCACAAGGATGAGAAAGGTTTTCTAAGCCTGTGCTACAGGCTAACCATTACACTAATACTTTGAATTTTCTACCTAACTTTCAGTTCATTAATAAAACTTAAAATTTCTATTTTCCTTACTTTATAAATGAGGAAACAAAAGAACAGAGATTCAGCTGGGTCCTGTTAATAGTAAGTGGTGAAACTTTAAAAAATGCTATTGATATACTCTTTGTGATTACGATATTTGAAGAAGGACATGGGTTTGTTTGTTAACTGAGACAAACAAGGAGCAGTCACTCAATTGCTATGTAGACTAAAAAAAGGAAATAAGAGCTGGGCGTTGGTGGTGCACGCCTTTAATCCCAGCACTCGGGAGGCAGAGGCAGGGGGATCACTGTGAGTTCGAGGCCAGCCCACTCTACAGAGCGAGTTCTAGGACAGCCTCCAAAAAAAAAAAAAAGGAAATAAGGAGGGGAAGGGTAGGAAGAACAGAATTACATTTAGCCATACTATCTTCTCAATAAGTATACATTGTCTTCCTTTACATATTTAACCATGAAATCATAGGGCAGATTGTCCTTTTTCTTTGAGATTCCACACAATCATTGCTGTGCTGAGATGTGTCTGTGTTGTGGGCAACACTGTCTCTAGCTCATGCATATTTTTAGCTTGTCTCTTAATTTCTCTTTTTGGGAATAATGAAGGGATATAGCTTAACACTAAGGGTAGGGAAGAAAAAACAGGTTCATTATACTAGCCTTTTATCCAATAATAAAGAAGTCACCATAGGAAAAAAGAAATTCAACTCTCAAAGTTCCCATGAATATCATCAAATAGGGGCATCCAAAACTTGAGAAACCTAAACAACATGTATTAATCCAGTAGTGTGGTGATATACTGTTTATGTGATATATTGTTTATGATCTAATAAAGCATGCCTGGAGATCAGAATGCAAAGCTAGCCACAGCCATAGAGCCAGGCAATGGTGGTACACACCTTTAATCCCAGCAGCCACACAAGTTAGCCATAGAGCTAGGCTGTGGTGGCTCATGCATTTAAGCCCAGGATTCAGAAGACAGAGGCAGATGTATTTCTGTGAGTTCAAAGCCACCCTGGTCTACATGAGAGTAAATCAGTCTAAAGGAGAAACAGAGCTCATACAAAAGTGATCTCAGTACTTGGGAGCTCATACCTTTAATGCCAGTACTAAAGAGGTATATAAAAGGAGCGAAGTGTTTCATGTAGGATTCTGGCAATTAAGTCTCTAGCCATGTTGAGGTCAGGATTGCCCCAGTCGTGGTGGAAGTAAGAGCTTTCTGGTGGCTTGGCTGCATTGCTTCTCTGATGTATGAACCCCAATATCTGCCTCTTGGTTTTTATTATTTGTGCCACACAAATAATAGTTATTACTGGCTTGGGAAAAGGATCATTCTAATGTGCTTAGCTCAAGCTACACAATGTAATCTTAGAAGGGTCCACAGCAAGTCTTACCTGCTGTGCTTTGACTTTATCTTTGTTATGTATTTGCAGTTGGGATTGGGTGGTAAATGGAAACCATAATGACAAATATGTAGATAGTAAATACAGGGTCCATTATTTCTGGTCAGTAAGACAACTACAACACTTTTAATATGTTCTGATATCACCTGACCCCAAGAAAGTCAACATGCATTTTATTTCTGTGAAGTTGGTGGGCTAGCATTAGACAAAGACGGAGCAATTAGGTAATGTGGAAGGCTAAGGCCTGGATCATCTACCAAAGAGTTTTCTTATCCCTCTGCTCCAAAGTGGATGCCTCAGTATTTAGATGTATAATGGGGAGAATAAAAATACTTTCCTCATAGCCAATAAAATTAGTATAAAGAAAATACTGGTATTTTAATTCTTGATGTATAGCAATGAGAAAGGATTGATTTTACATCACCACTTGTATTTAGAAACGAGATTTATCTGTATTTTTGTTCTACCTAACCAGAAATGTGCAAAGTTAAATAAGTCCATCAATACTCATCCAAAACGTATTAATGGGTCATTTGTCTCTGGGGCACAGTACCTCTATTTCTGGTAAACTGCCAGGTGTGTTTCATTCTATACACATAAATTCAACATTCACTGACCAATGACTATGTACAAGGCCGTATGTTAAGGAGACATAAGCATGCCTCCATCTTTGTGTGTATGCTCCTGCTTCCCATGAGGTTAGCTCAGGTCATATTATACTGATTTACTATTTATAAACCAGATTTCATGTATACTAATAGAGGAAAAATACAGCAGCTCTAAGACTTAAAACTTGTGTTATTAAATTCTCATGGAAAATCCCTAGCATTTCTAGTATGCTAAGTAGAATAATACAAGCCATATAAATGAGTCTTCAATATCAGGAATCTGGGACAAGTGAATAAATTAGTTAAATACCTTTATATAAAATTACAGCTGTTTGTATTTCACATATAGAACTTTACCTAAGATAAACTCAGTTAACATTTCAAATCTCCTAAAGATATACTAATTTGTCAGCACATAAGTAAAGGATTCACAAAAGAAACTTAATACCATGAACAACAACTCTGGAAAAACACAGGGAGCAAGATTTGATTAAATGATAATGTAGCAGCCTTAAAACTTCATGTGTATTTTAGCCCCTCTTCTAGAATTTACTACTTAATTTTCACTTTCCCCACCAGCACACAAACCCAACTGCAGGAGAGACTCACACACAAGTAAAATCTTCTTACAACATACTCTTGTGGTTTCTGAATGTGCCCCATGTGTCCACTAATAGACAAATGCTTTCAAATCTGTTCAGCTAAATGGATCAATAACTACATCCAGCCCCACATAGTGGGGCTGCCAACATGGTAAAATCAAGCCAAACACAAAATATCTCTCCTAGGACAAAAATTATCAACACAGTTTTCTCAAGAGATTCATTCTCTGAGGTACACAGTACATACATTATCTAAGCAGTCAGGACATAGTAAAAATATTTGAGACACAAAACAAAGAAGGAAGTAAAAAAATATTTGGACATAATAACCAGTGAATTTTATAATGGACCAATGTAACAATCTGAGGTCTACATCTCTTATCTCTCCAACTCAAAAGCACACAAAATACAAACATACAACAGCACAGTCAAACTGCTAACAAGCTTCTCTGCACTTCCTGCTCCTATGACACAGCTGTGAGCACCAACTGAGCAGGTGCAACCAAGCTTTTGAGAATTCCTGCCTGTTGCCCAGGAACCACAACAAAACATGGCTGAAATTTTAAACAGGTGCAAATATTCCCACCCTTTCCTGCTTATCTGGTGTTTGAGACAGTGTGGAAGACGGTGGGTCTGCAGCCACTCCTTAAAGCAACCTCTACAAAAAATAATGAATTAAAAAATGATAAAATTTGAAAATAAAACCAAGATGTCAAAGACAGTGGCTCTTCTGTGATCTGACCCCATATTGTCAGTGGCTTTAACAGTACAGTTCTAAGAACTGCTCTCTAATCTTCACCAGATGAATGCTTTGTAATTAAAATTATTCTGCTTCATCAAATCTTAGAAATGTATACCTGGGTATTATTGTGAACTGCAATGCAACATGTGTACAAAGTACAGCTCTTTGAAACTGTCAATATTTATATGACAAGTGATCAAAAATTTAATATTTACATATTATGACTTCTATAAGAGATTTTAATACAGAAAATGTGATAACTCGACAGACAGTTAATACATACATTTACATAGCCATAGGCAGTTCATATACATTACCTGTGCAGCTATGAGGCACATACAGACTTGAAATATATCAGGTACTCTGAAATGTAAAACAAAGAATTTATCTAAGTACAAATTAATTTATTGGGCCAAAACTAGAATTTATGCCGAGACAACTTCTGCATATAAAGAAGGCAGAGTAGTTTATGTGTATATGTTCCCATAGGTATTCTAGATCACTCTAAACTCAAACATGTTAATGTATGCACAGAGTACCTCAGCAGTGTCATTGAGGGACCAAGACTCACTATGGCCTCTACAATGCAAATGTTCTCACAAGAGGACGAGGAAAACACTTAGAAATGATTTTTTTCTTGGTGTTCTTCCAGGACTAATGCCTTCCTAATACAAACTGCTCTTTGAAATGAAACTCCTCCAGTTCATCTGCACTCATGCTGCCTTGCTGCTAGAACACTGGGGAGAAAGCAAAGTGCTTCCATGAAGGCGTCCACAAAAAAATAAAGGAAAAAAATGCTCCTTTACTTTGTTACAGCAGTGCAATTTCAGACTGACTCTATCAGAAGATCTGCTCCCAGAACATGGGGGCATGCTGCATAGTGCCCCCTGGCCTGACACACTGCCATAACTACCATCGACCCAGGTACTGACAGAGAGAACCATGAATGCCCAGCTTAAAACTGCAGTTGATAATCACACTTGAAAAAAGCCCTGAATTTATATGGAAGATCATTGTAACAAGAAAGCTACAAGTGAAATTGTCAAACTAGAAGTTTCATAATTCATTCTGAATGTAAAATAAGGTATTGTTTTACATAAGGCTAAGTATAGCTGACAATAGTAAGACGAGAGGGTCAGTAAACATTGCTCAAAGGTGTGCATAGGTAATGATGTTTATGATGGCTCAATAAAATAAAAAACTGGAGTGTGAATGAATTGCCGAGAAACTTCAGAAAGTTATTCTATGTAGGCATCTAGAAGTCAAAGCTTGAAATTTTTTTGCTCAGTAGGCTTAGCTCTAGACACTGTTAAAATTATAGAAAGCAAGTAGAGATCTATTTTAAACATAATGGCTCAATAAGTAAAGGCATTTGGTGCCAATTCTAAGGACCAGAATTTGACCCTAATGATCCATATGGTGGAAGGAAGGAACTGACTTATTAGGTTGTCTTCTGACCTACACATGTGCTTTGGCTCCAGTTCCAACCTACACACATACACACATAGTAAGTAAACAAATAAAACATAAAAGAGAATAGTATGGTATTGAAATTTTACAAGAAATTAGAATGTCTGACAAAATAAAATAAGTAAGGTATATCACACATATATAAACTAATATTTCTCTACAACTTAAAACATTTTTAATTTTATGGAATACTCACATGTACAACAGTAAGTTATATAAGCATATATAATGCCAGTTGGACAGGAAATATGACACTGAAGATTATAAAACTGGAATACACATATATAAATACCAAGAATAATACTATTGACTCTTTAAATTCTGTTCTGCATAGGTTTATAGACAGCTAATTATCAACAATAACCATTACTTTTATAATAGTAAAATATTGATTTGTAAGGTAGAGGTAAAAGAAAAAATGGAAAGTGCCATATGGAAATCATAAACTTTCTTTGAGAAATAAATTAATTCAATCACACATAAAATCTACTAGGTGTGCCTACAGAGAGAACACACTTCCTCCTCATCAGGGTACACAGGGTCTTTTTCATCCCATTACTCTAGGATCTACACAGTAATTCAGTAACACATTTTTAATCATCCTAGTAAAACTTTTTAAATTATGCAGAGTGAAATGATGGCAAGAACAACTCAGGACTGAAAATCTGTTGTATCTAGTAGAGACTAATTTATTCACTAAGCAGGCAACATTCAATGAGCATCTACTGTGTGCAAGGTGATGCATTTATCAACACCATGTGTTAAAAGATAGAGTAGGATGTATCCCCACAGCACTAACCCTTTAAAAGCTCTGAACATATGTAGGAACAGCTCAAATACAGTTGCAAACATAACATAGCTCAAGATATGTCCAAGAGAGCTTGTACATCTTAGAACAAGAAAATGTATGCTACATTTATTCTTTTATATTGTGGAGTGAAACTTATTCATAGGAAACATTGACTAAAAGTTCAGACTTAGCATGCATTATTTATAAAATGCATTCGTAAATTCTTCTAAATATTTAAATTTATATTGGTGTGATTTGCTGCATGGTAATGGTGATGTAACATAAAAGAAGATCAAAGAAATACTGACCCAATCTACGATATGAAGCATGTAAGATTGTCTCAGATTATGCAGAGTTACATGAAACACACTGACAATTATTAACAGACAAGAGTTATTTATCAGCCATTTAAGTAAGTAAGTTAGTTACTTGTTAATCCTTCCAAAGACACTGTTATGACAATATCAGCAGGGAAAGAAGGGGAGATAAGGCAGACCATTCTTACTGGACAGATAAAACTGGACAGCTTATAGATTCGTTCTGTAACTGGTAAGTTTTTCTTTAGTCTACAGTCATAACTTTAGTTTCCTGAAGCCAGTTACAAGGTTGAGGTCAACTGAGTCCATCCTTGTGAAGTGGTGACAAGTCCAAAGATAGCGATTCCTGTGATCACTGATCTCTGGCCAAGGCATACCAAGTTCTGGGCAACAACAAAGTTACCAGGTGGGCTGATGATTAAGTTCTTAGAATTTGCTACCAGACAATTATATCTCAGGCCAGCTACATATTTCCTGTATTTAAAACGGTGATCATGCATAGGACTCAATGTCATGGGCATATAACAAAATAAGCAAAATAATCAGCCATAGAGTAAGGATTTCCTTACATGGTCCTGATAGTAGCATCACAGATGCATGAAAAAAGAGAGAAACCCTTATTATAAGGTAAGGAACTAAACTAATCAAAAAGTCAGAAGGTAAAGACAATCTATTGGACATGCATCCTACTGCCCAGCAAATCACCCAAGAGGCAGTCATGACCTGAATGCTCAGTGAACATTTGACAGGAAATGATATGTAACAGTGTTAATAACACAAAATCTCCTCATCCAGCATTGTTAAGTACTACCCATACTATTGAAGAGAAAGAGTAAAAAGGTTGATTCACTTTTCTTAACAGCTGAATAACACATTGTATAAATGCACCATGTTTTCAATAAACACTTATCAGTTTACAGAAGTACTTTCCAACTTCTGGCCAATTCAAATACAACAGCAATGAACATGAATAAGCAAGTATCTCTGTCATAAGATTTAGAGATCTTTGGGTATGCTCAAGGATGGTATAGCAAGATCTTGAGGTAGATCTATTCCCAGATCCCTGAACAATTACCACCTGATTTTCATAGTAGCTCAACAAGTTTGTACTCCCACCAGTGATGAGTAACTGTTCCCCTTATGCACTATCATACGTTTTATTGATTTTGATTACTACAGCTGAAGAAAAATAACATGTTAAAATAGATTTAATCTGCGTTTTCCTGATGAAATAAGGATGCTAAACATTTGTTTTTCAGCCATTGTGGTTCATCTTTTGAGAATTCTGCTTAGTTCTGTACCCATTTTTAATTGAGTTATTTTTTCTTAATGTTCAGATTTTTGTTAGTTCTTTATATATTCTACATACTAATCCCGTATTAGACATATTTGTAAAGACCCTTTCCTCTTCTGTATGCTACCACTTTACACTAATGATGGTAGGAACTTAGATGCAGTCACCATACCATAGGGGAGCTGTTAAGAGAAGCTTTTTCCTTGAGAGAATGCCTTCCCGCCAGCCTGGTTCTAGAGCCGCATCAGTCCCAAATAAACACACAGGAGGCTATAATAATTATGAAGCTGTTGGCCTTGCTTGTTTCTTACTGGCTAGCTCTGACTTAAGTATTTACCCCATAATTGTTAATCTATGTATTTCTCTTACCGGAGACGTTCCGGGCTTCCTACCCCATGGCGGTTACATCTTGAATTCCTGTGTTTCTCCTTCCCAGAGTCCTCCTGGACTCCTAGTCCCTCCTATCTAGATTCCCTATAGGCCAGACAGTGCTTTATTGACAAATGCACAGGACTTCCCCAACATCTCCTCTTTTCTGTTTAAACAAAAAGAAAGGTCTTAACTTTAACATAGTCAAATCATATATAATAGAATAGTTATCAAGTAAAAATACAGTTACAATATTTAGTCTATCAACATTCAGCAAAGTTTAAAGAAAATATCATCCATCCCATCCTTGTGAGTCTAAAGTTCTATATGTAGCTTATCTCTTCCCCAACAGGGAGCCGACACCACAACTGACATCTTATACCACCAAGTAAAATCTCCAGTGCCAGAAATGGTTTAGACTTTGGTGAGCCGTTTGCCAAAAGGGTCCTATTGACCTCCCCAAACGTAACTGGCTATTTCCAAAGCTACTGATTGCACACTGCAGCATGATGATAAGGCTCTGTGTTTGAGAATAACATTTACTTATGTCATCCAACAAGGAGAAGTTAAGCCCAATTAGAAGCTTCACTCATACTAATAGTGTTCATGTTTCTAGAAGGTACTCTACAAGCTAGTGAAGGAGAAAAGTAACTATTAATATCACCCAGCAACAAACCCTGTGACCTACAACAACAACCTAGTGTAATAAGTGGCAAAAATGTTCTTGGAGTAGCCACTACTTTTAGTAGGAGTAAGGCCCACTCTATGAGATGGAACCCATACCTGACACTGCTGAAGTGGCCAAGAACTTGGGATGAAACACTACTGATTTGCTAAAGGAACACAGGAATAAAGTGACTCCCAATAATATATTTCTATACCCACTATGGTAGTTTGAATGCAATTGACCCCCATGAACCCAAAGTAGGTGGCTCTATTAGGAGGTGTGGTTTTTTGGAATGGGTATGGCCTTGTTGAAGGAAGTGTGTCACTGTGGAGGCAGACTTTGAGGTTTTCTATGCTCAGGATACTATTCAGTGAGTCAACTTCCTGTTGCACAAAAGACGTACAACTCTCAGTTACTACTCCAGCACCACATCTGCCCGAACATTGCTATGTTCCC